ATGTATTATGTCATGTAAAAAAGCACCTGTCAGACTTTCACTACAGACAGGATGTACATTCCTATGGGACCAGAAGTGATAGGAAACTAAATGTTCCATATCACAGACTCTCTAAGTCAGCAAACAGACATGAAATACTAGGTGTAAAGATATATAATAAGTTACCCTTGGGATTAACTGATATGCCTCCAGATCCATTTAAGAAAAATTTTTATGAGTGGCTGGTGGAAACTCCTTTCTACTCCATGCAGGAGTTTTTTGAATATTCAGAGACAAGACAGTAATCAACTCTGTCTAATAGGTAGAAATTGTATTGTGCACCATACGCATTAATAGGTTAACATTGTATTCTTAAACTGTGACATTGTCTGTTGCTGTACAAAGTTTAATGACAATAAAAATTATTATTATTATTATTATTATTATTATTATTATTATTATTATTATTATTATTATTATTAATAATAGCATAGAAGCAATGGAAAGCATATAGTATGAAAAGTGTTGAAGTAAGATAATGTGAAAGTTTACGTGTATATTCTTAAAATTCTTGCACTGGTTTAATTTTCTTATTAATTAGCAAACTAGAGCATTTTTCTATTTTATTGTTTTTTAGTAACTTATGCTAGTGATTTTATTAATGCAAATAGAGTTGTTGAGCTTATTAGCCATCTAAAACAACTGAAGGATGTTTTGAGTCATGAAAATCTCATAATCTTCATGTACTACTTAATCCTAGCTATATCTCTCAAACTACAAATTTTTTAGTTTTTGCATTTAACTAATATAAAATTAATAGGAAATTGAAGAAATACTTATTCCCATGCTATTTGCTATTATTTCAAAACTATTTATGGGTCTCTGAACTGAATTTGGTCCCTTCACCTCTCGTCAAATACATTCTGGATCCATTGCTGCCAGCCACAGAGACGATGGCATTTTTTGCAATATGTGTCACTGCATTTGACATTTCCTCCATCAAAATTTTAATTTATGGTCTATATTGGATTGCAAATGTTTCACTTTAGATTAGATTATTTATTTCAACCAGTTGGTCATAACATTTGACAAGAGGCATGTAATTTTTATATAATATAGCACAATAGCATAATACAGTACAATAAAAAACAAAATGTACATACAATAGAAACATAATTAACGGTATACTGATATACATAACGCAAGCAATGATCCAATACACTATATCTGATTGACACATTTCAAAAATCCTCACCAAGACAACCAATGTATATGAATATAATAATTACCTAAACAAAAAAAAGATGTGTACATACTCCAGACAAATACACATTTCATACTACATAGCCTTATATACCTGACTCAGGCAAATCTTTGAGGTGCTTGGGCAGATGATTGTACAAAAGAAGTCCAGTATTGAAGAAGTAATGTTTACGTAAAAGAATGTAAACAGGTGTTACAAGCAGATCTTCTTTTCTCCTTGTATTTTAACAATGAAAAAGTGATTTCTTAATATAGAGATGTGAATTGTACTTTATGAACATTACAATATTACAAACATTACAATCATTAAACATTTATCATTCATATTTCCGAGTTTAAATGTAGACATCTATCTACCTAATTTTAAGAATTAAAGGTAGAATAATAGAATAATAAATCTGCATAACTAAAATAAATAAATAAATCGAACATGCGTTAATAATTAATTAAATTATATTTAATTTTAGGCATAAATAAGTGTGTACAAATTTTTAAGGTAAATTTAGAATTTTCCCCCTGGATTATTTTAAAAAAATAGCTAGCAATTTTCATTTGCATGCAGGTGACAGAGTTCTTAATCTGCTTCTGGCCATAAATGGTTTATGTAAAAGACATCACATAAGTGATGGGGCTGTAGCATTAAACGATATTGAAGTTTTTTCTTTTGTGATATTAGACTATTGGCAAGAGACCACTCCAAATATTAATAATTTAATACATTAAATATGACTGGATAAATTCACTGTGTAATATTAATAATATCATATGTGAATAATTTGATATTAAATATTTTGAGAATGTTTTTATAGAAAGATAATTGAATTTCATCTGTCGTAAGATTTTAGAAGTTTAATAAGTTTAATTTGCAAAACTGAGCAATATTAAACTTATTTGCTTATTTAGTGGCAATTTTACCATTTACCTCTTTACATTAAAATTGTATGTACTTATTTATTTTTGTATATCAAGGCGTTTTATTTAAAATTGATATTATATTATTTAATAATTAAGATTGAATAAATACTAATTCATACATTTCAAATAATTATCATTAAGGAGGACAAAAACTAACTGAAAAAAAGAAGAAGAAATTGGGTTTTTGGGAAATTAGGAAATTTGGTTTGAAGTTTTCGATATCTTGGATTTTTGCTAATAGATTTGATTATCTACCAATAAGTCTTAAAGCTATTAAAGTAAATATTTTGGAAGAGTTGCATTTTGATCCATCTCATTTGGTCATACCATTTTCATTTGAGCATTTTAGAAATTCTGCATTATGATACCATCTTCATAAGAATTTATTTTCTTTTGATTTGTTCTGCAGCAATTCTGGTGCTAGTGTAAGCCTTTGTAAACTAATAGATACATACAACTTCTTCAGAACAATAGAAACAAAATTTTTAACCTAATTACATAGCGATTTAAATACAGGGAATAAAATTAATAGCACTGCTTTCCTTGCTTCCTTTCACAGCAAGTTACCACGCTCCTGCTCCCTGGAAATTTGAAAGTCACGCCAAAAAGTGATATAGGAAAGAGTACTGTGCACAAGATAGCCAACGTTACATACATTCTTTATTTTAATCAATTTTTCCTTTCAGTTCGTTTCTGTACATAAACGATGCCAATTATGTGCTATGTGATAATTAAATGACTCATATTATTTGAGCTTTACGTTATTTGATTTCATTCATTTAATTGTGTGGCACAAGATTAATTGATTGGGTTGGCAGTACGCCTGGTATGGTTGTGTTCGGCGAGTTGAGAGTTGTGACATTCAGCACAACATCAAACACGTGTTGTAAAAATGCTTGAATGGATTTTGTAATCATCAGTGATTATTAAAACCCTCGGTGCGACCTAATAGTTGAACTTACAGCGAAGTGTAATTGTTCTTTGTTGTGTACATTTGTTTCAAAAGCAAACAGGTAAATACTTAAAATGTGTTCTAAAGGTAGGTTATGTTATCAACCTGGAAGAAAGGTTTTAAAATTATCGTTTTATTTCATTACTTGCAGTTGAATTATGAAACCTGGAACTAACATAAAGTTGGGCCAGAAAAAGAAAAATGCTCTTTCAAAACAAAAAAAAGCTGATCTTGGTGCTATGAGTGTGGATGATTTCATGCAAAGTGGCTTTGATATATCCGACGAGAGTGAAGACGAAAGTAATGTGGATGAAAATAGAAACGGCAATATAGTTTCCTCCGAAGAAGATCGTAATGGTAAGTAACGACTTTACAGTATGTTGTAAAAGTAGTGCAATTTCTTGTTTGTTACTATAAGTCTTCATATTTAATTGCTTCATCTCCTTTGTATTATTATAGAATGTAAGATATTAAATATGCTCTGTACATTTAAATTAACATGTTTCAGATTCTGATTCAGAAAATGAGGGGGAAGAGGAGGAAAATGAAGACGATGGTGAAGGAGAAAGTGAAGATGAAGATGAGGAAAATGATTCTGACATAGATGGACTGGTTGATGATGATGATGAGGGGAGCGAAGGTGATGAGGAGGGGAGCGGAGGTGGTGATGAGGAGGGCAGTGAAGGTGATGAGGAGGGCAGTGAAGGTGATGAGGAGGGGAGTGAAGGTAACGAGGAGGGAAGTGATGATGAGCGGGAGGGTGAGAGCAGCAATAGCAGTAAAAAGAATAAGAAGAAAGTTAGTAAAAATGAAGACGATGAAGGTGATTGGACTTCAGAGAAATTTAGTCACAAAAAGGCTGTAGCTAAACTTAAAAAATCAGATCCAGAGTTTTACAAATTCTTACAACAAAATGACAAAGACTTGCTTAACTTTGATGAATCTGATAGTGACACAGAAAGAAAGGGTGATGAAGAAGCAGGAGGGATAATACATAAACCACCAGAAAGTTTAGAGGTAATTATGAGTATATTCTTACTACAGGATTGGCGAGGACTAATTCGAAACTGTAATAAAACTGGCAAGGCTACATCAAATAGTCATAATATTTGGCTTAAGTATCTGCAACTGCTTCAATTACATATACATTTTGACATGAGCCCTCTTCTCCGACTTGAAAAGTAATGTTTTCCTTCATTTCATTATGATGTCTTTCCTTGAACATTCACCTGTGTTGTAAACTGTGGGTGTTCAGCATGTCTCTAATATTTTCATTTGGTTTTAAATAAGTGTTAGTTAATTAAATAAGCTTTTAATTCAAGTGTGGCTTTGATCCAGATATATACTTTGTTTTTTATAACCTGGCACTTAACGTTAATCAGCTGTTATGGTGATATCCAATTGGGAACTTGAACATAATCAGGAGACATTTAAGCTTCCAATTGGATGAAACCATCAACAGCTGATATACGTCAAGTGCTCGGTTATAATAATGATAATAATGATGGAAATTCGCACATATCATGCAATTAGTTTTCGATGACAAACATGATTATAGATTTGGTCCGTTTGGTGCAATTTATTATGTGATAATGCTCACACTGTCTTTCACAATCACTGCATATACATTCGTCATTTTGGTTCATGGAAACCTTGTCTGACATCTGTGATGAACCCATGCACTGTCAGGCGCGTTATCACATGCCTTTGCTTGTACCCCGCCTCTGTCCATTTTCTCTTTATCATTGCATCAGTACAGTAGAAATCTGCCCATATTTCTTCCTGTCTTTTTATTCGTTTATTCGTTCTCCCGTGATGTAATTTATGACCGTAATGTCTGTGTAAACTTTGAATGTTACCCAACTGTTGCTAATGGCTTCGGGTGAAACCTCTATTCATGACTACTATTTCCTTTAACTTAATAATTTATCATTCCTCCTAAGGAACCAACCTCATGTAAACCCATGAACATAAAGTCTAAACATTTTTAAATGCAAAATTCATTCATGACAACAAATGTAACTATCATTAAATAATGGAAACATTCACCCACTTAAAACTCAAACAAACATTACTTCTTAGCCTACACTATTATGGATTAAACAGACAAACATTTACACACCACATAAATCTATTATCGCAAAATTACAATTTCATAATTTTCGTGCCATGTGAACTGCTTGGCTGCTTCCGTAAGAATGAGAATTAATTACATTTCGCTAAAGCTAAATTTTCAACATCGTCCCCTAATCAATTCAATGTTAATGACACCAGGCCATGGCGCACCTCGACTATACAATTCTCATCTAGCTTCCAGCATGACATGCCTAAATGTTTATAGACCTGCTATGCTACGCATATTCCTTTGATTGTAACATTTTAGATGCATCCATTATGTTGTATTACACTTGTGTGACATTCTGGTATGTCTCTGTAAGTTGGAAAAATTTACTTAAGTTGTCTGTCCGGGATTGTGTGCTGTGTGATTATGGCATCTTTTGCATTCCTTCCTTTTCTGAAACCGTTATTTCCTCTTCTAGGTATGTTTCACTATATTTATTCAATCCGTTTCTTAATATGTTGGCATTGAGTTTTGATGCTTTTGGTAGAAGCATTATCCCTTTATAGTTACTGCAGCCTGCAGTCAAATTTAGTCCTCAAAACTTTAAAGAGGGGCCTCTTCAAAATTAGAGGGTTGTCTTTTTTTCAAGACGGATTTATATTCAATTAAATACAATATTTTCATGCTCTTTGTATTAAAATAAGTAATGTAGTGCTATAAAACTCAGACAAGAATTACTCTTCCTGCAGGTTGCTAGTGATGAAAGTGATTATGAAGATGGAGTTCAAAGAGATTCTAGAAGTATAACATTGAAAATGGTAAAGATATGGGAAAATAGGCTTAAAAAAACTACGTAAGTAAAAATTGAATTTCTGTTTTTTTCTTGTATTTTATAAGTAATAATTTCTAATTGGTGATAATATTTTGCAGGCATAAATCTTGTGAAACAATTCAAGAAGTTATTCATGCTTTTCATGCAGTGTTGGTGCGTGTTTCAACTGAAGATGATGATGAAGGTGCTAAATACGTTGTTACTGGAAGTGCAGGTAAGAAATTCTTAAATACTCATGTCCCTGTAATACACTTTTTCTAATGATAAAGGGAGTTCTTGTCAATAAAAGAATAGAAATAGATATACCTTTCCCTATGAATAATGATAGATTGTTACTTATTGAATTTTTTAGAGAATTAAATATTACACCATTTCTGTGATAAGGATAGCTGAAAATGTTAATGAGCATGGCAATTTTTTTTTATTATTATTTTTTATTTTGCAGTTTTTAATGCTGTTATACAACTGTGTGTGTTGGAATTACAACCTGCTCTCAAAAAGTTTTTGAGAATCCCAAGCGGCAAGCATGTTGATCCATCAAAGAGCAAGTCACAGTGGACTAAAGTATCAAAGAATATAAGTGGTTACATATCTGATCTTGTTAAGGTATGAAACGTTCGTTCTCTTCTATTTTAAAATAAATGTATGTATATAGATTTACCATTACATTGGATTTAGAGTTTAACTGATAACGAGCTATATTGTAATTTAAATAAATAACAATATGACTTAAGGAATTGTTTGAACTTCAAACTTCATTTGGACTACATCTTGTCCCATCTGCGTGGTCAGAAGGAAGATAGGAGCTTATTGTGATATGTGCTGGATACCTTCTAGAATTTAACTTAGTGTAACAAGCACTTGTTACACTAACGATTTTGTGTTATTCAAAAAATACCTGCCTGAGCTCATTTGGAGCCTAGTTTAGTACTTTGGTTTGGGGAATGAGCCAGCGTCTTCCACAGGTGCTGGGGATTGAGGCAAAGGACGTAGTAGAAAATTAGAAATTTTGTTCTTCATGCCTGGGAAATCATTTCTTACAATAAAAGTTCTGTTAATCCTAATTTATGATAATATATATGCTTTTTCTGAGGTTTCCATGAAGGGATACAGTTCTATTAAAAATTTTTTACACTACTACTAAAAGAACTATTGGATATGTACAGTTTGTTATCAGTATAGTTGTAAGAACATTTTCTTAAAGCAATGGACACTGTCACATGTGTTTCTGAGGGTTGCACTGAGGACAAAATTCTCAAAAATAGTTCTTTCAAGTGGTAATTTAATTTTTTATGTAATCGACTACAATATTAATTGAATTTTGTGAAGAAGTGTATGAAGTAACCTAAAGTAAAGAATAACCATTACTAATGTAATTTTTATTTTTGTTGTTATAATATAAGTTAACTTTGACAATTACCCACCAATTTTGTGACTGCATCTTGTGGCCCTCATGCTGTAATCCATATTTTATAATTTTAATTTATATGATGTAAAACTGTATTTAAGAATTTGTAATGAGGTGTTTAATGTGCAAATTGCGTTTTCTTGCAGCTTTTGGGTGGTGTTTCTTCTACAAGCATCCTAGCTGTGATGCTTAAGCATTTGCATCAAATGGTTCCTTTTGCTGCGTGTTTTCCCAAGCTCTCCCATCCAATTTTAAAGAAATTGGTTATTCTTTGGTCTACTAATGAGGATTCTGTTCGTGTTATAGCATTTTTGTGCATTCTCAGACTTACTACACACCAGCAGAACAAAATACTGGAGAAATTGTTGAAGGTAATTTTCATACTTTTGACATGATGGCTACTCTCTGGAAAACCAGGAAAAATCAAGGGATTTCATTGCTCTATAAAAGTCAGGAGAAAAATAAGGGAATTTGTGGAAGAATCATTAAAAGTTGAAAATTTTCAGATGGTGATACATCAATAGTTCTTAAAAAATAGTATGTTATTTTTTGCTCAATTTCTATTTGATGCTTTTGTTTAATTTGCACTTTTATCATGGCCAATGCAGAGACCTTACAAATTAATTTCATGTTTTCTTTAATATTTTCTTTAAATATTGTGAAATATATTCTACATTATCTTACCAGTAGAAAAAAAAAAAAAAAAAAGGCTGTCAACAATCAGGAAAAGTGAGGGAAATGAGTGGCCATACTGTATTATTTTTTGTTGTACTTCATTTGCGGAATATAATGTAATTGTCTTGTTTCCCAAAGTTTTATAATGTAATTAACTGATGACGAAACTGATTAATACCTTAAAACCCCGTTTAAACTTCTGTTATTTGAATGTTATGATCAAATGCTCTGAATTAGTGTATTAAATCTTGTCTTCTACATTCTCCATTACATACAGTTCATAATTTTGTTCCCTCCCAATTTTTTTTGTTGCAAGTGGTTTTAATTGTATTTATTTGTTGCAGATGATGTATTTGTCATTTATTCGAAATTGCAAATTTGTTTCCCCAAGTACCCTACCAGCCATTAATTTTATGCGTCGATCACTTGTGGAAATATTAGCATTGGATGTTAATGTATCTTACCAACATGCATTTCTTTACATAAGACAACTTGCGATACATCTACGGAATGCTATAGCTGTGAATAAGAAGGTATGAATTCAGTACATTTTATTTGTTTTAATATTGTGTAGAATATGATATAAAGTTTTTAGTCTTTCGATTTATTATTATTATTATTATTATTATTATTATTATTATTATTATTATTATTATTATTATTATTTACCTTTTCATAGGAAAATATTCAAGCTGTGTACAATTGGCAATTTATTAATTCCATTCATCTATGGGCTGATCTTTTGGGAGCAACTGCAAATAATCCGCAGTTGCAAAGTCTGGTATATCCTCTTGTTCAGGTATATTATACAGTATTTGTTTATTATCAATTTAGAGTAAATAGGGAGAGAGAAAAGCATGATTTTTGTAAAAATATGGTGTTTCTTGAGTTTCTTGTTTTGTTCTATTACATTTATCCAAAAATAGATTGTTGTTTCAAATAATTTAAATTACTTTTAATTGCTATTCAGTTGCATTGCAATTAAATAACCTCAACCATATGTAGCAATATAGTTGACTACTGTTTGATTGAGCATAATTTTGTTGCATGAACAACTGTTATTAGTGATCTGTATATAAAGTTCTCGGACAATGCATAATACATTTCACAAATACACAAACTTGGCACAAAACATTTGAGATGGATTATGTGAAATAATTATTTAAATACCAATAAGATCTAAGCACTCAAGCTGGAAGGGTATTTCGTAACTCAAAAATTGGGTGAATTTTATTAACAGGTCAAGTGTAAGATTACACCATGTGCCAGCTTCTGCTCAAAGTCTCAAAACTTGTCAATATTTGTGTAAATTGAATACAAATAGAATGAACTATTTTTACCAAAACCTTTATTTATATTTTTTTTGCAACTTATCTTTAATTTTTGTGCAATTATTTGTGTTATGATTATATTGTAATCTGAATATTATTTAAAAAATTGAAGGGGATCAATGAAGCAAGGCATTCTTTGAAAAGGGTCAATGCAAGGAAAAGGTTGGGAATCACTAATTGGGATCTAGTTGAAAGATGCATCATTAGATGTCTGTTCATGAGAGAAGTTCCATCTCCAAGGCTGTGGGTCTTCTCTTCTGAATGTAGGAGTGCTTAAAGAATAGCAAATTACTCTTGTAAAGAAGAAAAGGTTTGCTTTGCTTAAAATTGCACTAAGTTTAAAACTTTCAAGATTCAATTTCTGCATAGCCATCAATTAAAAAATTACATTATTTCCAAGCATCAACCAAATATTTATTTATTTACATTCAAAGGAGGAAAAATGTGAAAAAAATTTTCTCCCTTTAGAAACTGCCACTGATGAAAAACATACAAAAGGGATTCCGGAAACAGTATTTCTTTTGGGAAATTGTTGTAGTGTTTTTTGTATTGTGTGGATTGCCTTAATACAAAATTAAATGTTCTTGCATTGAGAAATTTACAACACATCAATGATCACAATCAGTTGTACTATGGACTTCAGTTCGAGAAGCATCCAACAATTTTCACAACATTTTTGACTCATCAAAGCTTTGCCATGACCAATTCTTAATTGAGTTAGAGCCATTTACCCCTTTCTATAAAAGTAATTCTATGTTTTCAAAAAGTATTTGCATTGTCGGTAGACTTCAGTTATGAAGTAATTTTCAGAGAGTATTATGATTTTAACAATTTTTATAGGGGATGTTATTTGTAGTCAAGACAAAAAGGTTATTCTGCATGGTATTAAGGAAGCATGATGAGATATGGAAAAGACATAATTGAGAAATTTTTAGGTCATTGGGGGTCCAGAAAATTTGCGAGTATACAATGTATTTTTGTCCAAAATATCATCTCAGCCTTGATTTTGAATTTACAGAGGCTTTCAGGAGCATTGTTTCAGATGTAGAATTATACCAATGTTCTTAATTTGATAATTTTCTGTGGTTTACTCTCTGTCAATTTCATTATTATCCATAGATAATAGGGAGAGAAAGCCAGTGTGTGTTTTCTATCAGTTTTTCTTTTCTATCCAGCAATATGTATAATCCAATAATCTGATGGGATCAGGGTTCTCGGAATACAACTTTGTGATATAAAGCTAGGAATAATATGCTAACTATTTCTGAGAATGAAACTTAGGACCTGTGTGATTTAAAACAGGGTAATAAGCTGATGTGATCTTTGTTTTATGTTTTGTGGAATTTAACGAATATTGGGATGTAATTTGTTTCAACCAGATGTTAGTTAAATTAAAGAGAGCAGAGCGCCTGTTATTTTAGACAAGGATTTCCAGAGAGCGACATGTAATAGAGTGTGTTGGTCTGATAATGAATAACTGTCTACAGAGGTTTTCATAACATAAAACTGCAGGACTTCACACTCACAAAATAGAGATTACACTGTGTATTAGTGTGAATACATATATTATACAGTTTGTATTTGAATAATGAGTGAGCAGAGGTGATGCAGTTGTTGCAGTGTATCAAAATAGGTGTTATTTGAGGAAATGTTCTGAAAACTTTTTTCTAGTTAAATATTTTCTAAGGGTCTTGTTTTTAATTAATGGTGGTTGAAAAAAATGTAAATGTATTATTTCTTAATTTCAATATATGATGTTATGATATAATTATAGAGATTTGTTAATGAAATTGTTTCAGGTGACAATAGGTGTAATTAAACTTGTGCCTACTCCTCAATATTTCCCTCTCAGGTTTCATTGTACACAAATTCTCATTGAATTATCAAAGAGGTCTTGCACTTATATCCCTGTTATGCCGCTCTTGTTGGAGGTAACTAATTTTGTGCTATTGCTTGAGAATAAGACATTTGTGTATGTTGGAAATAATGCTCACAAAATGTTCGGTTTTACAGGTTTTGAATACATATGATTTTAATAAGAGACACACAAAAGTTTCTATGAAGCCTATGGTATTTACATTTGTTGTTCGTTCTTCAAAATCTGATATGTCGGAGAATGGCTTCAAAGATGTTATAATTGACACCATTTATAAGCAGATATTAGAGCATTTAAGTAATGAAGCACACAGCATATCCTTTCCAGACTTGATTATCCCAGCTGCCTCACAGGTAATGTTAATATTTGTGTCCAGTATAAGAGAAATATGTTAAGATATTAGTAGAAAAATTAATACATTAAATGTACCATCAATAATTTTGTATTAGAGGTGACTTTTTATTTGAATCTGAGTTCCCCTTATTGTATTTGCATGATTATATGTCTTGTTTAGTACCAAATATTACGTTACCTTTTTGTAAAAGGTTAGTGACTGGGTTTTGGATGTATATCTGAATTATAGATTTGTAATGAAGTTTTACTTTCTCATTAATATGTAAATATTGTTTGCTTTGAAAATCAAGTTCTGAACAACTGAGAATAGATGTAGTTCATCACACTTTATTAAGATTTTAATTATATATTATTGATGAGGTAATGGAATATTTCTATTTTAAATTTAAAAAAGTGTATTTTTGATCAACTTATACTATTCTTGCTTTCAATCATTTTCAGATTAAAGAATTTCTTAAAAAGTGCAAGGTGCATAATTACTGTCGAAAGATGAAACAATTGTTTGACAAAATTATGGAAAATGCACAAGTAGTGGAAAGTGAGAGGCAAAAGGTGAATTTTAAACTCAGTGACCAAAAATCAATTGCTGCTTGGGAATCACAGCTGAAGTTGAAGGGTACTCCTATGTCAAAGTTTTATGAAAATTGGATCAAGATGTATTCAATTCAGCAGGCTAAGAAAGCTACGAGAAATGATGAGGTTTGTATTAAGAAATGAAAATAGAGAATTAAATATTTAGAATTTGCTTTTCTGACTAGGATATTCCATTCTTAGGAATTCGATCTTCCATGTTCATTTTTATGTTCTTGTCTACTGCTACGTAGTGTTAAGGAAGCCATGTAATGCTGCAAGGGAATAAAAATGCAGACATTTAACTTAATCTTAATTCTTGAGGTTGCTGAGAGCCCATTATCATACATGTTCAATAGTTAAAATTGAAAGTTTTCTATAATATTGGATTCTACCATTGAAATGGCAACGACATGTGTTTTTGCTGTAGTAAACTAATGCTTTTTAAAGTAAATATTTCAGTCTCTTTATACTATTCAAAACATTGAGACTTGTGTAGGAGATTAGAATCAATAACCACTTGCAGGAATAATATTTGAACATACAATATGATCTTACGTGTAAATTGTGAAGATAAACAATAATATTAATTTCAATAATTTTTAAGCATTTTTTAGACAGGAAGAAAACATTAAGTTTACATGTTGAATAATAGTTGTGGAAATATTAAAATTATTTGTATTTATGACAAACTTACTCCAATCATTTATAAATGGGTCATTATATATTCTGGATTTGAAAGAATCATAATTTAATTTTGTCTTGTTTGTATGTTCTAGATTGGAGATTTCAATTTACCAGTATTGAAAAAGAGAACTCATGAAGCGAAACCAAAGCCTGAAGGACCAGTTGTTTTGTTTCCATCAGATGATTCTGATAGTGATGTTAATTTGCCAGAGTAAGTATTGAAATACATGTTGTTAAATTATTCATATTAATTTTGTTTCTTCATAAACTAAATGAATTTTCAAAATTTATATAAAGATGACCTTTAGGAATTTTATTTATACACTTCCCCAGAAGCCAATGATGTAGCTTTATTAATTTTCCATACTAATGAAACACTCCAAGTGTATGAATTGTTGACATTATGAATATCTTAAATAAACAAACCAAAATATATTTCAAATTCAGCATAAATCAAAAATGCTTAATAAGAAAACATCAAGTCAGTTGGACACTATACCTGAAGCAGATGCAGGTCTGGGGGGTTCCATGCTCCCGCCAGGTCTTAGAGTTTTTGTTTGTTACCTTCTTTCATTTGGCAAAATTGATGCAAATATTTATTTATTTTTAGAATTACTTATGTAATTATTTAAAAAATAATATTGCATCATATTTTCTGTAAACAAAAATAATTTAGTATAATAAGTGCTTATTATTTAATAAAAATTTATGATGGCCCCCTCCTAAACGATCTGCTGGATCTGCCCGTGAACTGTAGTATCTCAGACAAACATCCTGATTGCGCTTGTGATTATGGCACATTGACTCAGGAAGGTGTTTCAAATTAAGATGTGCATTTGATTTTGAAATTTCATTTATTAAATGTGGCATATTAATTTTTGGTTTAGGATCAATGGAACTGATGAAGATGGACCAAGAAACAAGAGAGGAAAACGTGGCAGTAGAAGTGGCCAAAGAAACGGGAAGATTGTCAAACCAGTGAATACTAGTAATTCTCAGAAAATGAACAATGTTAATTTAGACTTAGATGATCAAGAAGATATTGTGGAAGATCTAAAATTAGAAGATCTTCAATAGTGTATTGTTTACACAGATTTGTTTGTTGTATATATTGTTTCAAAATTGTGATAATAAATTGTTTTAATACATGGTGAAGTTTTTGTATCCCTTTTCTGGTATCTGAAGTTCTATTGACGTTTTAAATAAGCCGGATAGTGTTTAGTAAGTTTTCTTTGCAATGGTTGGCACAACTGCACCCTGTTCTAAAATAAATATGGAGCTTCTCAGGTGGTGTAGTGAGATGTGTATGACACAGATAAGTGGGTTCTTTCGTGTCTCGCGCTTCGCATAATGGTTGAATGTTCGTCGTAAGTGAAGTTGGTGAAAATGTAACGGTATTTATAGTGCTTCATTTGGTGCGTGTGTCAAGGGAGTAACTTACAGGAGACGTCAATAAGGCAAAGCCATGGAAAATGTAACTCCGGAAGATGAAGACTTCCCGGGTAGACTTCTGCATCAGGTACGTCAGTGTCAAAACTAATCACGCTGTTTATTGAGAAATATGAATAAAAAAAAAAAGATTTTAAAAAAGCCGAATGTCATGGTCATTGATCGTGCTCATAGACCTTATATTAAATTTGTTCATTGTAAGTCAAGAATTATCCGTGAATATCGTGTTTACGCCTTAGGCCGCGTTATGGGACAATGCCGAACTTTTGGAAGATCTACTCCATGGGGAGCAGATAGCGCACATAAACAGCCAGGATTCATGGGGTCGCACTCCGCTGCACGCAGCCGCTACAAACGACAACTCACGTTGTCTGGGAGTGTTGTTGCAAGCAGGAGGTACGTGTTTTTCAAATGATTGTTGTTTTCAGTTCGTAACTTTTCACCTCGTTACAAATTTAATTTCTTTTTAGCCGATCCCAACACACCCTGCGGCCCCAGAGGAGAAAATCGGGTAAGCCATGTGCCAGTTCGTTTTATTCCGCGTTTTTTGTGTTGTCAGCGAGTGTTACAGTAGAGGTAGATAACTAGTATCTTTTGTGCAGACTCCCTTGCACCTGAGTTCCGAACATGGGTTTGTGAGCAACGTTCAGCTGTTGCTGTCGCACGGCGCCGACCTGATGGCACGCGACAACAATGGACTGACGCCGCTCGACATCTCGGAGAAGGGCGAGCACGTGGACTGCATGGAGATCCTGAAGCAGGCTGCCGGTGAGTCATGCAGCTTCTGTACATGGTGCATGCCCCCGCCCCCGCCGGCTCGCTCTGGTCTCGGTTTATTTTCTTCGGGCCGTTGACTGTGTGCGTGAAAACGGACAGTTTTCGCAGGATAGCAGACCGTGGGATTGTCCGAAAATATACGTGCTGTAATACTGAACATTCTCTAGTTCTTTAGTCGCAGAATTTGATTTATAATTACGATGTTCGTGTCCAGATGGGAGATAGCACCTGTGTATTTCCTGTAATGGTATCAGTCACATATTCACAATGTGCATTGGGATAACATAATTATAGTTAAGAATATAATATTATTTAAACAATGAAAATTGCAAGCCAAAAAAATTAAATTTCGATAGGTTTTATTAGTTCATTAATTGCATGACCACGGTGTAGCGAAACATGTGTTGCGCACCTGCTGTTTTACTACTTTCATTGCAAAATTCTATTACTTTAAAGCAAGTGTTTGATGTACTCGTGGGGAGTATTTATTTATCCAGCAATTTGCACACTTTCGCAGTTTGTAGCCATGGTGTCAAATCGAAAAAATACTCCATACGTAGCGTATTACTGTATAATGTATTCCATAAATATTTCCTCTGCATTTAGAACTAATGTATGGAATTTAAATAGAATCTCAAACCCGTTTTATTAAGCAGAATTGTTAATATTTTGGTTCATTTTATTTTTACTTTCGAAGTAAAGACGTAACGAAGGATAGTAACGGGACAAAAATCAGCTATTTTTTTGGCAGAAACACTTGTATTGTGGGTCCCTGATGTCGAAAAAGCGGATAAATCATGTTCCTATTAGAAGTAAATCACTTCCTCTAACGCGTGGTATAGCCAGAAACCACGTTTTATGGGAACCTAATAGTAAAAAATTGGTTGTCGACAAAACGTGCGTCCGTTCATAGATTGCTTCTGGGAATGTCAGTTATGGTCATTAGCACTGTTGGTGTCGTGAATGTTTTAATCATGGAGGTGGCGGTGTTCGTCTCCCGCTAGATTGTGAGATCCAGCGCCGACCTAAATGTGAGGTATTTCTCTGAGAATGTATCTCGCACAGCGCCCCCCTGCCAGGACAAAGTCTTAGCTCCCGACATGTAAGTTAGTATAGTGTGTGTATGGTCCGATTAAAAGAAGTTGGTTGTTGACAGTTGCGAGTACAAAGGAACGACGTTGATAGTTGGCGCACCAGTGTGCACGTGTTCCGGGGACCCTTGAAATAAACTGGAAACACGCTTGAAATAAATGCGTATAAAAGTAATCAAATCATATCATACTGTGCGAAGCAACAGATTCAGAAGCACAACTGTCAATCACCAACTTATTTTAATCTGACCATAGGTGTGTTTGTGAGGAAGGGACAACGCTTAAATTTTTTTCTTTATATTTTGCCTCTGATAGAGCAATGTCCACTTACAAAATGGACTAGCTCTCACTTTCAGCAAAATCTGCGTTTTCGAAAATTGCAAACAAAAAATTACCTTTGGAAAAGTACAACATTGATGGGGTAGATCTTTTTCCTTAATATCTGAACTTGATAATTAAATAATTGGAACGAAAATCTACGTTCTTTATTGACTGAAAGATGATTTTTACGTTGTTGACTACTTCAGACACTTTCGGTGATGAACTCTATTTTAAAAACAATTCTTCGGTAAGCGAAGAAACTATTGCCTTACCAATGGTACACAAAATGTCACGTAGAATTACAGGAAGTTTGTGATAGATTTCGGTTGGAAGTTCAACTCTTGATTAGTTTTGAGATTTTAAAATTATGTATTTGGAAATTCTTTTCAAAAAGAAGCATTGTGAAAGCTTCTTTATATTCTCCTACAATAATTAGATCCAAATGTTTCTTCGAGATAAACTGTTGCATATGTTAAAGGCTTTCGCCCGAGATTTCCGCGCTTGTTTATGTCTACAGAAATTTGACATATTGCTAGCCCTCATGAGGTTGGCCCTACTTTCTCTTTCTGAAGGAAGATGAGATTCCTGCTCTCAGATAGGCTTCCTTGAGATTCTGCGGTTGCTGAAGACTTGATCCCCAAATAGTTCCGTATGTTCGAGTCAGTGATCTCAACATTATAGCTGGATGCAAAACTGCAATGCTTTGAAGTGCTTAAAACCGTGACGATCGTTGTGCGTTAGATTGGCTGCGGTGAACGTGTACCTACAGACTTTCTGACGAGTTAAATGTACCTTGTGTGTTGTTGCTGATGCTTAAAATCGCATCTTTCAACGAAAATGCTAAAGAATTGTTTAGCATTTGGTTGTAAAGAACGCCAACAAACTGGAAACCATTACTTAATATTGTTTTTTAGTTTTCCGATGATTATTATTTGTAATCTAAAGAAATCATTAAAAACTCAAACCAAGAACGCTTCCCTTTGTGAATGTTAAAAAAGCCTCCAAGAAATGAAAGACTGGATTTGTTGAAATATTGTAGGTAAATTGCAATTTCATAGAATTAAATATTGGTTACTTTCAACTTTTTATTACGTTTTAGTAAACATAAAAGAGAATAAATGTTCAAAATTGGAATGAGATGCTAATTCCTGCTATTGGTTCTGAGATAACTATAGCGAATTGACGTTAACCATCATGGCGGACTTTGCATTGTTTCTGAGCACATAGTGTAGTCTCCAATCTACACTAGAGCTCACTAGTTCGAGTAGTGACATTTTTGAATTATTTTAAATAAATTGTGTGTTCCGTCGATGTAAAGAACGTAGTCTTCAGGTGTTGTTTAGCATGTACATTGTATATATTGTGTATTCTTGTATATTCGGTAGCATCAAGTGCACAAGTGAAATTCTAGCTTTCTTTATGGCGAGTTCAAGAATTGAATTTACTTGATCGCTGATACAAGTCCAGTGCATACGAGAAATTTGTCCAAACATACATTCGGTGTTGTACTTTCTTTTCCGTAAATATCTTGCGTTTTTCTCTACGTTTTCTATACATGTCTCAGAATAAATATTACGAAATTTTGGTGCGTGGAAGAGGTTCAAAGATAATTACTTTTTGACAATGAAATATGGTAGGAAATTCCATAAAACACGTGACAGTTACCCCTAATTGTTAGGCAGCACCTGAAGCAGTCGTGTTCGGTGGGTCACATTCTGAATCAAAGAGATTTCGCGTGCCCGCCAAAAAGCGGTGCATGTACGTACATTCATATATGCTTATATATATATAT